CTAACTGCTCCACCATGCTCAAAAAACTTTTATAAACCTAGTTTTTTTACCTCAAACACAATACTTCAAAAAGTCCTGTCTTTATGTTTTTCTTACTCATGCAGCTTATAATTTTGAAAGTCTTCTCTTAACCGTTTTCTTGTTATTTAACTTTCTTATTTGCATTCTGTTAACTACTAACTTAGATAATATTGATTGCAGCCATTAAGAAGTAAATTTCCTAATTAAAATATATTTTAAATTGTATAATTTTGTCTTAAAAAAAATAAAAGTTATACTTATATTATATGTAAAGAGAGTTGGGTTTATTTAGATTGTAACTATTTTCATAAAGCAGTAATAAATTTTTAAAAAAAAGCAATCAGTCAGAAAATCAGTAAATCAATAAAAAAAGGGCAGATACTGGATTGCACAAAATACGGTTAATTAAGCTGATACCAAATCTGATTAATCAGTACATCACTACTACCTTTTTATTAGACATTCTATTTTGATGACAACCATTCAAAAAGAATCCTGTAAATTTTTCCTAGATAAAGTCTTTTTACCAACTCATATTTGAAAAAAAATATTTTTGTTTAATTTATTTTATAAATGAATACTTTAATCATATAAAACAGTATTCTGACAAATTTAAAATATCAAACAAACAACATGTATTTCAAACAATTTGTCTGAACTATGAGGTATTTTTGCTTATCATTTGCAGTTGATTGTTTATGATCAGAAAAACTTCGATTTAGTGTATACACAACTAAGTTTAAAAAGTGAAACAAAAAACCTTGCAAATAAAAAATATTATATTATTATCATTTATAATTTTTAAAATAACATTTATAACATTTTTGTTTTTTTTCTAAACCAATTCAGTGGTGGATAGTAGTGTGGTTCTAGAAAACAACTTTTTTTATAAATGACTGCTGGCACCCTCTGAATATGTTGTATATAATAAAAAAATTCTGGATCTAAAAAATTTTTGAATAAAAATTATTTTATGGGGTTGCTACTGACCTTCAAACATTTAATAAGTCCCTAATATTAAAAAAAAAAAGTTTTTCAAAAGTATGTCATGTTGGGTCTCAAATGAAGCGAAATTATATAAAAATTTTAAAAATAATAATCATTTTATAATTAATTTTTATATTTTAGATTTTAGTGAGCAGAAAATTACATTTTTTAACTAAAAAACGATTAATAGAGAAATTAACAAGATTTTTTTATTATAATTTTTTTTATCAATGTTTTTTTATAAAATGATTAATATTTTTGAAATTTTTATATAATTTCGCTTCGTTTGAGACCCAACATGACATACTTTTGAAATTTTTTTTTTTATAATATGAGGGACCTATTTAATGTTTGAAGGTCGGTAGCAACCCCATAAAATAATTTTTATTCAAAAATGTTTTAAATCCAGAATTTTTCTATTATATACAACATATTCAGAGGGTGCCAGCAGTCATTTATAAAAAAAGTTGTTTTTAGAACCACCCTAGTGGATAGTGTATATTTTCTTAAAGGTACTTTGATATGAATCATAAACTAGTCTAAACAACAAAAAACTTGAGAATGCAGGTGATATACATTTTTTCCAATAATTTTAAACTAAAGAATTTACAACTGATGCATCAAAAAAAAAATGCAGTTACTTTAATAAAAGTGTCTGGTGGAACTTGTTGTGTTTTTGCTATTTTTTTGGACAATAACATGAACAAAGGTTAATAAACTAACTTTTGAAATTCAGTGTCATTTTATAAAGAATTATATAATTAGCAAGTAAAACAAATGTTTTTTTCTCAAATCTTGGTTTAGAAGCATTTTATAATGTATACATAAAAATGTCAATAAACTTATATAATAACATCAATAATAATAATAACAAAAAGTTAAGTTAATTGTAGTTAATAAGATTCATAGTTAATAAAAAAAACAAACAAACCAAACAATAACTAATATTATTAACTCAACAATTTTCAGGGAGTATCACACATGCATGATGTACATGTATCATGTGTGAAGCATCACCATAACTATTATTTTTTATAACTTGTTTTCTTTTAGATACAACCTTTTTCTAAACTTTTATAACCAGTTATTGCATATTTCTAATATCCTTGCTAAAAAACTTTACACACTTAATATTTAATGACTACACTCTTAATGGGTATTTAAACAAGATAGAATTAATATATTTGGTTATAGTTAGTTTGTAGAAAACTTGTAGGAGGAAAAAGAAAAAATTAAATCTTCTTTATTTAAAAATTTGTGTTTTTTCAGTGTAGGGTACATCATAAATGTTGAATTAAATTTTAATTTCTTTTCTGTTTTTTAATTTTTTTCTTCAATAAAAAATGTTTGATTGTACAATTGACGCGTCGAGCATTTTATCATTTATTGTAAAAAAATTACCTGTTTTTATGTAAAGACATTGAAACAATTGTATTATTTATACAATAGAATTATTTCTCAATACGAGTAATACTCGCGTTGTAAAATTAATACCAGTTATGAAAAGATGTCATCATGTTGGTCTTTATAATATGTTCACACTATGTATACTCAGTGAATAAGAATTGTGATAAAATTATATGATTATTTTTAATTTTTATGAAACAAAATGATGTGATTATTTTTAATTTTTATTATTTTTTTTAAATTTGTAATAGTTGTTATATCTATTTGATTATTTTATTAAATATTGTAAAATAGTCTAAATACATGTTGCTTTTGTATATTTAATATTTATATATTTAAAACATATCAGAATTTTATTAATTTTATAACCTGAGACTTCCTTATCTCACATAACTTTTATTAATGTATCTTTTGCTATTTTTCAAAAATAGTACTAACAATGAGTCATAATACATTAAAAGTGAAAACTAGATATAATTTGGAAACTAAATTGTCTAATTTTGTTGAAAAAGATGTTGAGTTTGTTTTGTTCGAGGGATCCACAAACAGATCAGTAATTCAAATAAGAATTCTCCTAAAATTTTTTTTTGTTTTTGTTTTATAATTTATTTTGATGTTAAATAAATAAACCTATATTTATTTTTATAATTTATTTTAATACTAAATAAATAAACCTAATTTACCTTTAACGAAAGAAAAGAAATATTTTTGAATTTGAATTTAAAAAACATAATTTAGTAGCAAAAGAACTAAGCTGATAACTTGCTAAACTGGTGAAAGCTCGATGGTTCAAAGCAAATAGTCAATTTAAACCACCAGTTACATAAATAAAAAATAAAAAAGAGATAGATTTGTTAGAACTAAAATGATCAAAGTAAGCTGTTTTTGAAATAATATAACTTAGAAATAAATAAAAAAAATTTGTTTTCTATTAAAATCTTTTTTTTTTGAGCTAACTTTTACCAATATTTTAATATTTATATTCATTTCAAGTTAAATTTTTTACTTAAAAAAACAACAACCAGTTATTAGATTTTTAAATTTATTCAGGTGTTTAAAACCAAAATCCATAAACCTTAAAACCACTTCAGATGAGAAGTTAATACAATTTATATAAAATATTTAACAAAAAAAATAAATCTTTTGATGAAGTAATAAATCTGCTGCTATAACATTTTAAACTTATGTTACATCAAGGTTACATTCTTTAATTTTTAATTAAATATTAAGTAATTTTTTATCAAATATTAATTAAATATTAAGTATGTTTCACTGAAATAATAAAAATTGTTACAATTAATGATGTATTGCATAACTAAAAGTGTCAATTGTAATACCAAAACATTTTCATAAAAAAAAAAAACAAAAAAAAAAAAATCAGTTTAAAATTAAACTTTACATAAAAAATATATGTATGACCTTTGAATAACCATGTTTTTTATAAATTATGATACCCTGAGATACAATGTAAAATTTTTTTTTTTTTTGTAAATTGCTTTTAATAAGTTTCTAAAATTTACAATGTAAATTGACTTTTTTGTTAAAGGCATTTTAAATGCAACTTAGAAAGAATATATATGTAAAGGCTAATTTGCGAATAAGCTAAAATTTGGTTACAAAATTTTTAAAAATAAAAGTTCTCACTCCTCCTTGTCTTTCAAACCATTCCCTTCTTTTTATTTTAATATGGTAGAAAATTTTGTTTTACGAAATAAATAAACAACCTTAAAAATTATCTAAAAGTTACAAGTTTAAAAATATCAAAATTAGGTTATGCAATATAAATATCTTAAATTAATTAAAAATTGCTGTGTGGAGCAGGGGTTGATTTTGTATTAAGCAATGCATATATACGCAAGAGGAAGAGGAATGAGAGAGTTGCTGAAGGCAGCTTAAAAGAGGGAAAGCGTTCCTAAATCAGTAGTTTTACTGCATAATTGTCAAATTAAACCAAGTTTGGGTAACCAAGGGTAAACAGCGGAAGTAACTATGATAACTATATAACTCTCTTGAGGTAAAAAAAAAAAAAATTAAAACAATTACAATTTAAAACAAAAATTTAGTAGTGCTAAAGTTAAGTCTATTATTATTATTTTTCATCAGGTGTTTCTTTTTTTCTCATTTAAAGTAATTTCGATGTTTTAATAACTTTTTAAAAAAATGTTTAGGAGGATAACAACTTTAAATATTCAAAAAGAATATTTTATTTAAATAGTTAATTGATAAAAAAATATTTATAAATATAAACCTTAGAAATGGTTAACTGAAATATTTCACTGAAAATTTAATAAATCTTAGAGCAAATAACCAACTTTTTTTTTTATATAGTTTGTTTTGATTTTCAAAGAAATTAAAAAATCTAAAAAAATTTGTTTATTTAGATTAGTAATCAAAGTATTTAAATTTTAACTGCAATCTTTTTTTTTGTCTGTAAGTACTATCACGCAGTGTTAGTACTTAAAGACAAAAAAAAAAAAAACAACAACTCTAGAGTGTCTACACTGAGCATCTATTTTTTTTTGTCATTTTTTAAAAAAGATTATTATATTATGATTTATAAATAACTTTGAAAAAAAATTTTATACCTAAAATCCATATATTTCCACTACAACCAATTACTCTCCTCTTAAAGAACCGGTTTCCTATAATAAAAATTTATTTAAAGCAACATAAGACATGTTTTATTTAATGCGACATAATACATGTTTTATTTTACATTATAAAACAGTAAACACAAGCTTGTAAATTTCATATTTCACATTTATTTCGAGTTTAATTTTATAATATATATTAACTTTTTTTATACATAAATTTTATTGCAATATATAGTTACAATTACAAAGTCTCAGCAAAAACAACAACAAATGTAGTTTAAAAGAATTACAAAAGATTGCAAGAGATAGCACGCTATCGTGGCAATGAATACCAATATTTATTTTTTCATGCATAGGTATAAAATGTTAATATGACTATGATTCAATAAAACATTTAAATTTGCTCTTATGTTTTAAATTCAAGCAAGCAGTGAATCTAGTTTTCTTGTTTTTTAAATTTCTAGTACTAGTTTGTTGTAATAAAAAAAAACATTCTTGTTATTAAAAATATTTAATTTACGTTTTAATATATGTATTTAATTTACGTTTTAAATATAAGCAACCAGTAAAGTAAAGAAATCTATTTTCCTCATTAAATCAATTTTTAGAACCAGTAATCAAAACATATTTATTCCAATTATTTAACTTTTTAGCCAAAAAGAGACAAAGTTTTAAAGAAATAGCATTTGTGGGTGTTAAACCAAACAAATTTGTAATTTTTCTAAATTGTGCTTTCTTTCTTGCTAATTTTTTTTAATAATATTTGCTGTTGTTGGAATGCAATTTTGAGAAATGATTTTTTTTTTCAAGCAATTTTAGGAATTTTCAGAAAATCCTAATTCCCAATTTCCAAGAGACATTTTTGCGGTTATGCAAGCACGTAGTTATAACAATAACAGCAATTTTATTTAAAGTTTTAAACAATAAATTATAATTTGTTATGTTACTTTTGTTTATAATAGAAATAAGTTTTATAACTTTGCACTAAAACTCCTATGAATTAAATGCGCTTGAATAAATTATCAAGTCTGTATAATGTGCCTGGAAAATCGCGTTTATTTTACATACTCAAAATAACAGAGAAAACAGAGAAGACGAGCTTCGACTAAAACAACAAGATTTGTTTTTCTTGGTATACATTTATTAACTAGTTTTAATCAAAAAAAATTTGCTCAGACATTTTTTTTAACATTCTCTTTGAAATATATGAACACAACATGTCTTATGACTTGGTAATCCCTTTAAACAAACTTTATTTGGAGAATGGGATTTTTTTTCATTAAATCGGGAATTTTATTTATATGAGCATTTGAGAAAACAGTGGTTGACGGGGGTCCACAGAGCTAGTTTACACCCTAATATATATATATATATATATATATATATATATATATATATATATATATATATATATATATATATATATGTGATCTCAAGCTGGATAATGCCATTTTGTAGCTCAATTTTAGTTTAATGTCAGTTCAATAACAGTAACACCTTTAAAATAAAAAAAAACAATATTAGCGTTTGAATTCAACACACACAATTGGTAAGATAATTTGGTAACGCAAGTTACCAAATTAATTTACAATTAAGTTTCTTATCAAGTTAATAACGCAAAGTTAGACAGAAATTACGAGCACAGATGCTAGACATTTATAATGATTAAATTTCAGACTGTTTTTTTGCCCAAACAGTCTGAAATTTAGATTCAATCAGTCTTTTAGACTGATTGAGCAACATTTACATTGAACTGTAAATGTTGCTCAATCAATTTGAAATTTAGCAGACCAAATACCTATACCTAATGAACAAAAACAAGCCATGTGGAGCAATAATTCTACAAACTTAACTATATATATATATATATATATATATATATATATATATATATATATATATATATATATATATATATATATATATATATATATATATATATATATATATATATATATATATATATATATATGTATATATATATTTATATATATAAATATATATATATATATAAATATATATAAATATATATACATATATATCCAGGGTCAATGTTTTTTTTACCTAGTTATATATAAATATTAATTTCTCACTCGTTATTTCATAAATTTCATAAAAAATCTTAAAGTTTTATTGTATAAAGGGATAGTTGCAATTTTTATAAATAAAAATATTCAATGACAGAGTTATCACATCAAAATGAACATCTGTAAAAGATATCTACAAATATAAATGGAGTTAATGTATAGCTAATGATTTTTTAAAAAAAAAAAAAGCCTGAATAATAGTTTGGAAGTTTAATGAGTAAATTACAACTTTATAATTGTGCCTGCTTCCAGTAATTCTATAAGATTAGTGCAATATTTATTAGATATGGATTAAGACCTAGTATTAAGAATCTCAATAGGATCTACTTGCGCACAGTAAAAACTGATTCTAAAATTTTTAATCTAATACAAAATTAAAAATGCCAAATTTACCTATTAACATTTTGAACTGCATTGCCAGTATCCCCCTCAACATATCGGGATCATAATGCCATTTTTGAGCATCTGCTTATTTTAGGAGACATCGAGACTTTATTTTACTTTTAATTTAATTACATTTTGTTTTTGATTTAGAAGAATATAAACACATTAAATAACAATAAAAACATTTAGATATTGGATTGAGAATTCAAAGGTTTGGAATTAATCTCTATGGAAATGACTGTGTTGCAATCTTTAATGATTAAGCAAATAGAACTTTATAAAATAATAATTGTTAAAGGAAATTGTTGCGTAGCATCATAACATTCAAGAAACAAAATTTTTTAAAAACAACTCTCTAAAAACCCTAGCAAAATGAAACATTTTTTTCAGCTAATACTAAAATGTGGTGTTGTCGAAAACTGGAATAAAATTCAATATGTTATAGAAGTGCTAAATTCAAACATAAATCGCTGGCAGTAATCACATATAATACTAATTTGTGGCTCAGAACCCCTATAATAGGATAAAGTAATGATGGTAAACCTTTATTATTTTTTATTTTTTTTGTCAAATATTGGAAAGTATAATAGATATCTTCCAGTCTTCAACACCCTGTCTACCCTTACTCCATTTTCAGCGTTTTGATTTTAAAAGTTTACACATTCTTCCTATCTATTTTTGTGTCAGCATGAATAAGAAAAAATATTAACTACATTACATTTGTCATGCATTTCTTGCGGTAGTTACAACTTACAATTTTTTGAATAAACGTCATGATAATTTTCAAAACTGAAAACAATTATGACGTTTATTCAAAAAATTGTATGTTGTAAAAAAAAAAATGCATTTAATCACAATTGAGAATTTTTTAAAGAAACAAATTGTTTCATAAAAAAAAAAAAAATTTAATACACTTGAAATTAAATATGATTTTTAAAATTTAAATTTAGTTTTGAAGGAATATGAAAAAGTAAAACATTGAATGTAACTCTTTGAATTGAATGTAAAATAGTTTTGCAATTTTTATAAAAGTTTTTTTATAATCGCCTGCTAATTAATTCATTACGTTAATTATAAGTCTCTCCATCATATATTATTATAGATTATTATAGGCAAAAGGAAATTAAAAACTTCTTATAAAAAAAGTAAAGTGCTTTTTTGTAGAGAACTCTTTTTACAAATGAATTTCTTTTTTCTTACTAATTCAATATTGTGTAAAGTTGTTTTGACGTAATACATTTAAGAACATAAATTATGTTTACAAGTATTTTATTGTTAACAGATAAAATCTAACTATAAATTGTTTATAATCTTTATTAAAAACACTACATTAAATACATAAATTTTAAAATAAATAACTAAATTGTGATAAACAAACAAAAGATTAAGTATAAGATTGTTTAAAGAAATAAATTATAAAAAAATAAAATCTTTTTCTAATACAGAATTTAGATTAAATTAATAACTTTTGTTAAATTCATTTAAATAATTTTTAGATAAGTTTAAAATTAAATTTTTTTAATAATTACAGCGCAAAACTTTAAAATTGCCTTCATAGGTGTAAAATGTGTAATATAGTGACTGTCAGGTTCAGAAGTAACACTAATGTGTTCTTTTAATGCAACCCTATGATTAAATTGTTTTGTTACAAGGTTGTGCTTCAAAACTCCGGTAAAATCTTTTCTGCCATCAGCAAATATACCTTTGATAGGTTGTACTTGAATCTTCATTTCTTCATTTTGTCTTTGCTTTAGTCATTACTGCTTTCCTAACTCTTACAACTTTCTTAGGATCTACAGCCAAATAGGACATTTCAGGTGTTAAAAAGTTACCCAGAATAAGGTCTTGAAAAAAAAGCTGAACCTACTGCTGATGTTACAGCTGGTGAAGTATAGAATCTCAAAGAAGCTTCAGCATATTACTAATAGACATTAAATTTTGTTTCCAGTTATCAGTTGAAGCAGGTTCATCTTCTGTTTCTATTCTATTTGAATTATCATCACTTATGAAAGATTTAACAAGATCTCTTATTCTTCAAGAGGAAGTTTCTTCCTTTTTTTTTTCTAATTTTTTTTTCTAGACTTAACTTCCTTTTTAGCTTTCTCTTTTCTAAAGAAACCCGTCTAGCTGTTTCCTTAGTATCTTTACAAGTCATTTGATTTTTTGATAGTGACCCAATTTTTTCTCTTTCAGCTCTTAACCAAATAAGTTCACTTTTTTGAATCTTTTTTCCTCTCGGACAAGTACACTGGATAAGTGCAAAATCTAGACAACTATTTAGTTTTGAGCACTTTTCATTACATAAAGTGATTTCACATTTACAAGATGTAATGTCAAGCAGCTGATCTAATTTGATTTCCCAGGTAGAAGCAACTTTTTGAATTTTTTCCTCTAGAAATCACTCGACTTATTCCATTTATTTTATTTTCTGTACCAAAGATATCGTGTTTATTATCACAAGAAACTTGAAAAGAGCATTCCATCTTGTTCACTGTTAAAGAACCAAGACTACAAACTGTACAATAAGTTCTCTTAAAGAAATCAGCCTCATTAAAAATAAAACAAATAACAAAAGTT